TGCCGCGGTCTCGCAGCCGAGGTTGGGTCCCGAAATGTCCGTTGTGATGCCTGCTCGGGCTCGCAGTCTGCGCTGCACTTGGCGGCGCACATGGTCCAAAGAAGCGAAGAGCTGAGTCTTGGCGGGAGCGATCTTGCTGTCAAGATCGGTATGGATGCTATCCAGCAAGCCCTGGGTGCCGCGGTTCAGGCGGCCGGCGATGCGGCAGATCTTGTATTCATGATCCTTTAAGAAGATATCGTCTATGACCATGTAGAGGTCTACATCGGGGTTCTGCTGGGTCCAGGAGTCCAGGGGGTCTATGGTGTACATCTGTATAAGGTATGTTGCAAACCCACGCCCCGCTGCTATGCCATGTATTGTGTGTCCCACCGACATCGCCAGGTCCTGGAGTCCTACAAATCTGGGGCTCGCGTAAATTCTCAGGGTGATCCTGGGCAGGGTGGCGGGGAAACCACTGCGAACAGCTCGGGTGGCAAGCTTGCTGCGGTTAATATGTTCGTAGTAGTTGCTGAGGTCGTAGAGAACCATGGCTGAATGTAGTTGTTCGTTAAGCTTTGAGTAACACTCGCAATCTAGGCTCTGCTTGAAACCTAGCTCCGCTATGGAATGCCCTGCTTGGTGAGCGAGGAATGGACGCCCGCGATTCCGTTCCCATCCTCTCGCGGCTGACTGTCTTACTCTAGCCCACGCTCGATGCAGGCCTGACATCATTCCAATCGATCTCATTGCGGGTTTGGTTGCCTGAGGATTTTGCTGCTTGTGCGTCATGATAAGCACTGATATGATTGCCTGTATCTGCGAGGGCATGAAACCTAGGCTCTCGATGAGGAGCAGCAGCTGCGCGACAATGCCTGCCTGCTGCTCGGTGATGAGCATGAGATGCCTCGGGTGAACTCCGTCCCACGTTGAGGCTGTCGTCACTGAAAAACTTCTAGCTGCTTCCTGAAGGGTCTTGCCGTCCATCGGTCCCAGGGATATTCTGTCATCGATGCCCCCTGGAACTGGATTGCTTTGTGGCTTGACCGAGGTGTCCCCGATGCTGGCAAGTTGGCCGGCTTCGCCTTCCAGAATGCTGCTTGGGCGACCTGACCATCGTCCCTTGACGAGGGTGGATTCTGGCTTCCAGGCTTCGAGGCTCCTCGTCCATCTGTGGGCCCAGCCGACTCCTCCCTGAAGGGAACTTTGGACCCACGAGGCCCAGGCTTTGGCAGATTCGGAGCGTTGATGTTTCCGTTCGCTGTCTATGGCGCGGCCCAGGTCCTGGAGGGTGTCATTTATAGCCTGGTCGGCCGTGACCGCGGATAGCACTCCAGCGGCAGCGTCAGCAAGGGGAAGTTCTTCGAGCTGCGATGCTGTAGCCCCTGACTGCTTCCAATATTCTACGGAAGCAAACTCCTCTGGCGAGTCCTGCAGGCCCGCCGCCAAATACTCTAACTGGTTAGTGTCCGCCTTCGAAACGACGAAACTGATGTCGACGAGACGGTTTCGAAGCCATCGAAGCGGGGCCCCCAGAGACTTCCAACCAGCACGAACTCTAGCATCACGGCGTTTGGCACGCACCCAGTTGACCGCTGGGGGGCTCGCACGTGGGGCCGCAGAGTGTCTAAGAGGGGTATCCGTGAGGCTGCTGAGGGACTTCTCAAGGTCCTGAACCACCATTGCGTAGCAGTAGTACAAAATGGCCTGGCGCTGTGAAATTCCGAGAGGCGTAGCCGTATCGTGAAGCACAGCATTGGCATAGCTAATCACACTTTCGCTTTGGGTCCAGCTTGTTGGCCTCTGAGACGGGCCGAACGGCTTGACTGAAGGAAGTCGCGACGCACGCGCAGGGCTGGGCTGCCGGCGCTAAAGGCTGTTCCCTGGCCGAGGCTTGAACCGCCGCGATTCAGGCAAATGGCCTAGCCGCAGGCGCTGGACAATGGGGGCGCTGGGATGCCGGGCGGCGGGCGCCGCGCCGCAGCGGGGCGCGACCGCCGGCGGTGGAGCCGGGGGTTGGGCCATGTCGCGTTCCTGGCCCAGCGCGCCTTCCGCAGGTCGGCGCCGAACTCACATTTAAAGGGGTCTAAAGTCGCCAGCTGGCGGGGCCCACCCCCCCGAGACAGGGGTTTCTGCTGTCTCAGACATCTGGCCCCCCATGTGGGCCGCCGTGTTAGAGGGGTGGCAGGGGGGTCTGCCAGCTCTCGATAATCGTGATCTGGCGGCAGGAGAGGCCCGCGTGCGCCCAGTGGAGGACGGGGATGAAGAGGATTGGAGGAGGAGGAGGAAGAGGAGGAGGAACAAAAAGGAAAGCAGATAAGAACAGGACCGCGACGAATACTAATACTTATACGGGTGAGAAGAATAGCCACCATGATAACGATACGAATAATACGGGCAATCATGTTCACACTACGAACATCAATTATATGGAACTAGTGAGGATAGTATTATTACGAATAAGACTCATACGGACGCGTCGGGACAATAAGAACAACTCATAAAGTTAGAAACGAGCAGG